CCCCGCTGGCCCGGCAGGGCGGCCGGTGGGGCCGTGTAGGCGGCCGCCGACTTGCGGGACTCGGAGCGGGAGGCCGAGAGGGCGAAGTCCAGCAGGTCAGAGGAGTCGTCCGAATCCAGCAAGGAGCGGAAGTAGCCGGTGAAGAGGCTGTGCCTCTCCGGGCCGGCCTCCGTCTGCGAGGACGGCGCGCTCCCGGCGTAGAAGCCTGCCCGGCCGGAGGAGCCCGACTCCAGCCCGGCGGCATGGAAGGGTCTCGCCTCGGCCCCTTGGTAGCCGCCATTGCGGCCGGCCTGGCCGCCGGGGTGGCCGTGGTGGGGGGCCCAGGGGCTGCCCTTTTCCCCCCCGGCCCACTCGACGGGGCCGTCGCCAAAGCTCTGCCCGGGGTTGGGCTCGGGGAAGAGCGCCCCGTTCTTGCGGGCCCGTCGCTTCCGCTTGGGTTTGCCCACGGGGTCGGGCTCCGGTCGGCCCCGCTTGCGCGGATGCACGGGGTCGGCGTGGAGGGCGGCGGGGGCTTTCTTCTTCTTCCCGATGCCCTCGAAGAAATCGCTGAAGGAGCAACGGGCAGCACGGGCGGCGTGGCCGCCCCCACGCCCGCCGAACCCCCCTGCCTTGCCACCGCGCCGGCGGAAGCCCTGGACGCGGTGCAGGAAGTGGGAGATGCTCTGGGTGTCGGGGGCTTGGTGGATGGACTCGGGCTCGCTGGGGGTCCAGCAGCGGGGCGGCGAGCAGCGCCCCGAGCACTGGCTCTGCCGGTTGAGGAAGGCCAGCTTGGCCAGCACATCCGAGTAGTCGGCCTTGCTGTCGTTGGTGTCGGCAATGTAGGAAGGCTGGGGCGAGGCCAGCTTCTGCTTCCTCCTCCTCCTCTTCTTCACCTCCGGGGCGGGCTCCTTGGGCTTGGCTTGGCCCAGCAGCAGGTTCTTGGGGGGCCTGCCCCGCTTGCGCTTCAAGATGATGGGCATCTCGCCGGGGGGGAAGACCACCACCACGTTGCGCCCGTTGTTCTTCATCTTGAGCAGCGGCGTGGGCTCCATGGAGCTGCTGGCCGCCAGCTCCTTGCCCTCCAGGTTCAGGTTGCTGCTGAGCGACGACACCTTGTAGGTGGTCTTGTTCCTCCTCCCCAGGGACACGGGGATCTTGGCCATCTTCACCACCATCTTCCTCACCCCCCGGCACTTGCTCTTCTTCCCCGTCGCGGGGGCCTTGGGCACCTCGTCAGGGTCCAGGGTGGCGGGGGCTGGCGGCGGGGGGGCCAGCAGCGGGGCGCCGGGCTCCTCGGGCCCGGGGGGCACCTCGGCGGGCAGGGCGAGGGGGGACAAGACGCGGCTCTCGGGGGCGATGTCCGCCCGGCGCCCTCGCCCTGCCCTCCTCCGGCGGCACAGCATCTTTGGCTTGTCTGTCCGGCGCAGGGCGTACTTGCGGTGGTCCTCGCCACACCGCCCGGCCCCCCGGCCCCCGCAGGGTCCCCGCTTCACCACGCCGCCCAGGGGACACCCCCCCAGCCGGGGCTGCAGCCCGTGGGGCCGCAGCGGGTCCCCGGCACCCGGCTGCGCCTCCAGCAGCTCCGACACAGGCCCCAGCGGCTGCGCCTCCAGCAGCGAGGGCTCGGCGGGCAGCAGCGGGGCCCGCGCGTCCAGCAGCGGCGGCTCCAGGGCCCCGGGCAGCGGCTCCAGCGTCTGCAGCCCCAGCGGCTCCGCCAGCGGCTCCAGCGACTGCAGCTCCAGCGACTCGGACAAGGGCTCCAGCGACTGCAGCTCCAGCGACTCGGACAAGGGCTCCAGCGACTGCAGCTCCAGCGACTCGGAGAGCGGCTCCAGCGACTGCAACCCCAACGGCTCCAGGTTTTGCAGCTCCAGAGACTCCGGCAGCGGCTCCAGGCTTTGCGAATCGAGCAGCTGGGGCTGTGACTCGAGGGACTGGGAATCCAGCAGCCGGGACTGGGAGTCCAGCTCTTGGGCTGGCAGCAACTGGGGCTGCGGCTCCATCGCCTGCGACTCCAGCAGCTGCGTCCCCGGGCACGCCAGGGAGGCCAGTTCGTTCAGGATGTCCGCCTCGGCCAGGTCCGAGTAATCGCCGGCGTCGGGCTGGGAGCAACCGGCTTCCTCCGCCGGTGCTTTGGAGGCCCCCCCCATGCCCCCGCTGTGGCCGGGGGGCTGCGGGGCGCTCCCCCCGCCGCCGTCGGCCTCTCCATCGCGGGCCGGGGGCCGGGGATGCCGCGGCGGCTCGGTTTTGCAGAGCACCCCCCGCTCCTCGGGGCTGCGGATGCTGTTGGCCAGGGAGGGCGAGGAGAAGAAGCTGTACTGGAGGTCGCGGTCGGCGGGCAGGAGGCGGCTGTCCTCGTGGCCACCGCCGCCACCGCCGCGGAGGCTGCCGCAGTCCAGGTGCACCCCACTGCTCTTGAGGTCCTCGGAGAGGCGGTTGAGGTCCTTCATGATGTCGATAAGCTGCACCACGGGGTGGAGGTTGATGTGCCCGTTGCCGCACTTGCTCCGGAGCAAGGCGAGGATGCTGTCGACGTTGCAGCGGCCCGAGGCCAGCGTCGCGTTGGGGAAGGTTTTAGGCGCCCGATCGCGGGCGGCTGCCTCCTCCGCGCTGCCCCCCAGGATCCGGGGCTCACCGGCACAGCCCAGCAAGTCCTCCGCCGCCTTGGTGCCCCCGTGCACGCTCTGGCACCGGTCGGCCGGGTCGCCGTGCAGCAGCGAGCCTGCCTGGTGCTCCCGGCCGAGCGCGGGGCACGAGCCCTCAGGGAAGCTCAGCACGCTGCAGGATAAGGCCTTTTCCGCCGGGCAGGCTGGGGGCCGCTGCGCCGGGTGCCCCGGCGGGTAGAACTTGGGCTCTCGGACGTAGTCGGGCGAGCCACGCACAACGCTGGTCGTTACCACTGGGCCCGGGGGCTTCACGCGCATCCTGACCTCCTCCTCCCCCGCGTGCCGCTTGGCCGAGCAGTTGCTGACATGGGGGTCGGGGAATGTGAGACCGGGACCTGCGTGGGGCAGAGAGGGGGACAGTGAGGCTCCGAGGGCACTGCCGGCCAAAAGCAGCCGGCGGTGCCTTGCTCCATCCCCGCCGCCCTCGGAGATGGGGTGCCCGCATTCACCCCCTGGCTCGTCCCTGCCTTATCACCAGCGACGACCCGGCTGGCACTGCGGGAACCTGCCCCCATCGCCCCCAGCCTCCTCCCTTGCTCGCCGCAGCGGTGGGGAAATGGGGTCAGGCCCCCTCCCTTGCTCACGGGTGGGTTGGACCCCCTCCCCACAGCAGGACCACCCGTGCCAACCCCCGGCTTGCCCCAGCGCAGAGCCAATTCCAAGGGCAAGCGGGGTGGCTGTGTCCATGGGGGTCTGGGGCTGCCCCATCCCCTCGTGGGGCTGGGCTGGGGGGGTCCGGGGC